ACCAGGCTACAGGTGAGGGTACAACCAGCACCCTACCAGGCTACAGGTGAGAGCACAACCAGCACCCTACCAGGCTACAGGTGAGGGCACAACCAGCACCCTACCAGGCTACAGGTGAGAGCACAACCAGCACCAGGCTGCAGGTGACGGTACAACCAGCACCCAACCAGGCTGCAGGTGAGAGTACAACCAGCACCCTACCAGGCTGCAGGTGAGAGCACAACCAGCATCCTACCAGGCTACAGGTGAGAGCACAACCAGCACCCTACCAGGCTACAGGTGAGAGCACAACCAGCACCCTACCAGGCTGCAGGTGAGAGCACAACCAGCATCCTACCAGGCTACAGGTGAGAGCACAACCAGCACCCAACCAGGCTACAGGTGAGAGCACAACCAGCACCAGGCTACAGGTGAGGGTACAACCAGCACCAGGCTGCAGGTGAGGGTACAACCAGCACCAGGCTGCAGGGTGAGTCTACAACCAAGGTTGCAAGTTATAAACGCTAACCTAGTATTATCATTACATCCACCGATTGAAATTATGAACACCAGATATTGGTTTATCATTACTATCATCCTCACCCTGTAATGATATCCATCAGATCCAGCAATATGTTGCGGAGTTGAACGCGCTGGAGTCGCGACGTGGACGCAAGCCTCTCGACGTAAACAACGTCGTCTACTGGTTCAAGGTACGTCTATTGTACGTTTTGAACATCTATTAAACATCTACTAAACATCTATTGGACATCTAATAAACATCTATTGAACATCTATTAATCATCTATTGAACGTCTATTGAATATTTACTGGAAATTTACTGAAAGTTTACCTAACGTTTACTGAACGTCTACTGAACATCTATTGAACGTCTATTGTACGTCTTGAACATCTATTTTGCGTCTGGGGAAGGGAGGAAATCATTACATCAAAAGTTGACATTTTATTTCTGAAGGTGGTAAACATAACAATAACCAAATTCGAGGACCGCCCGGGCTTCGGCCTAATAGTTGCTACGCTCGGCGCAAACTTATTTTGGTTCTGTTTGGCCACCCGACTGAAATCAGTGTCTGGGCCTATAAAGTCGTAAGTTCATCAGCCAGTCATTGACGGCCTTTCGAGCAAAATCCACCAATCATAGACAATAAATTAGAACGTACGTATTTATTCACTTAGCGAGTTTTGAAAGTATGGCCCCTAGTGAGAATCTCCTTCCCGACTTTACAGTCGCCTGAGATTATAGTCCAGGAAACCTAGTGAAAAAAAGGGGTCAACCTAGAACAAATTGCAAAAGAATTTTCTCCATCACCATAACATGCAGAAATGCCTCAGAAAAGACATATAAAAATCCTCTAAAATATAATTGGTGGAAAGGCTTCAAATCACTGATTTTCAAAATGGCCGCCGAAGTAATCTATATGTTGATATGTAGCGGTTTGAATCAGTAGACTGGAACAGTTTTGCTGCCAAAAACCAATTTTTTTAGGCTAATAAATCAATTTATATCTATATTATGAGCTAAATTATATAAACTAAGAAATATTGCAATATTTTGTAATAAAAATACCATTTTATCGATAATGTTATGCTTTTTAAAGTCCGATGAATTCTCATCTTTTCTTTTTTTCTTCTTCTACTGATAAATGCTCAGTCCTTATGCTCACAAAATCATTAATTATGATGGTCAGCTTTGGAAAACTATTTCTAAGATGAAATAAGAGAACGGCAGCTGTGAAGACAAAAAGAGGAAATATCAGACATATGAATGATGAATGGCATAGAAAAACCCTTTTTTATTTCAGCTTGCACAATTTTATTTATTTATTTTGGATGTATAATAAAAATGAGAATTTAATATACTGTGATAATTAAGAAGTTATACTAACAAAAAATTCAGTTATGACGCTAAAGCTATAGAACTAGTAGGTTTTATTAACGTAAAGTTTAACTGTCCGTAGTAGGGTAACATGGGGCAGCGAGCCCACTGCGGGTCATGGGCCCATAGCGGGTTTCTCGCTAAGTATGGCAGATATTGGTCCGTGTTCTCTACCGCCGGTCGACAGTTTCACTGGGGTGAAGTGTACGGATTTACGTTTTGCTAAGAGTTTGCGTTATTAGGTTATTTGTGAATAACTGTTTTAGTCCAGATAAAATTTTTTTGCTGCTAAATAAAACTATTTTCGATTACTGTAGATGAAGCTTTTGAAATTACAGTGAATTATATTTTGAAAGTAATATTTATAGGGATAATTTTGAGTTCAAGTTTAGACTATTAGCTTTTAAAATAAAATGATGACACGATATAAATTGAAATGATACCTAGTGGGGCAACGGGCCCACGCGTGTCACGGGGCAAGGCGCCCATGGTGAAGTCTCGTGTTATACAATCATTAGATTTGTCTCAATGACCTTTTCAAAACTATGACTTGCTTTTTTAATTACAAATTACATTTCATATTGCGTGATTTTTTGATTTGCTGCCTCTAGGCAACAGGTTCTAGTGTCTAGTTATGCGTATTTGACCCCTTCTCGAATTTTTGACTCTTGCCCTGCCAAAAGTTGATTTCAGTCAACACCAATGAGTCAAAAGTTGATGAGTTTTTATGGTTTTGGCTGAAATCGCGGTTAAGTACGAATTATCTGCACATAATATCTGGATTATGGACGAAGCTGGAACGAAGTTTTTTCTGATCAACTAAATATATTTTTTCTAGTCAAGGATACATTTTATCATGTCGAGGATGAATTTTTTAGCGCAAGGATGTATTTTTCCAGTCTAGGATATATACATTATTATGTCAATGAAATATTTTTTATTCACGTCAGTGATAGATTTTTTAAGCCAAGAGTTTATTGTTTTCAAGTTAAGGATATGATTTTTTAAGTTGTTATTAAATGAATGAATGTCATATTTTTCATTACATTTTTCTTATTTTAACTGTAAAGTGTTGTCTTACCATTTTTAAACAAAAAATATACAATTGTGGTATAGGGACCAAGGGTAGGCGCCTTGCCCCAAGCCCATGGGCCCATTGCCCCAGGGGTGGGGCAATGGGCCCATTTTCACACTTTTTATAAAATAGTGTTTCATTTAAAATTGAATAATTCTATAGGCGTCTTATTCACATCATACATTCCTCATTAGTTGTACCTTTAAACATAACAAAGAACAGAGGACCTATCAGACACCGAGGAATATTCTACCCTGAACACGTCTACCATGAACGCGTCTACCAGTAATACATCTACTTTAAACACTTCTACTTCACACAACTCTTCTACTTTGAACACTTCTTCTTCGAATAGTTCAACTTCTAACCAAACTACATTACCCGCGTTTCGGACAAACTCAGCTTCTTATAACGCTTCAACTTTAAGCTCGTCTACCCTGAATTCTTCGACGTCATCTACGAGCGACAATCTACCTAACCCCTTGAGCTCATCTAGGCAACAATGTCCTACTTCTACCGATGCCTGTGGAACCGGCAATGTTAACGGCACCGCAACGCTTGAAAACGATACCGGCGCAACTGCTGAGCCAGATTCTTACGTTGCCACGGGTTCTTTCTCTTCTGGATCTTCCGGATCATCGGTATCTTCGGTATCATCATCGTCTAGTGTATCGTTTCCAGTAAATTTAAATGCCGATGGTACCGGCAAATCCCCGTGTACCGGGAAATTAGCGTCCGGTACCGGTAACGACAACTCCGCTAGCAACGTCTTCGATAGTAACGGTTGCAAGATAACCAGGCACGAGCAGAAGTTAAATAACGGCATAGACGACAGTAATGAAGTACCGGATACCGTACCGGAACCGGTAGAACAACGCAACGTTGCCGGTCAGAGCCATCCGGTAAAACGGAAACGTACGGACGACGAGGGTGAAGACGAGGCAAACGTCGTGGTGAAGGTAAGGACGTGTGACGATGATGTTATGTCGGTGACCGACTAAGCAACTGACGTTGAAATAACGTTGATTCAACGTTGTTGATGAATAACGTGGATTAATCGTTCCTGGTAAATAACGTTGTTTAGAGGACGTGTGCCGATGACGTCATGTTGGTGACCGACTAAGCAACTGACGTTGAAGTAGCGATGAAATATGTTTATTAAAAGTATTTTCAACAAAATCAACACGTAATCAGCGTTGCTTCAACGTCATTTACCTGCAGTGATAAAATTTCCATTATATCATCACCCAACAAACAGTGAAGCCCTGTTGGGTGACAGAATGTTGACTCTACAAAACCTGTTATCATTGGAATAGGAAGTGTGATTGTGGTTTTCGCCAAGTGTCATTTTCCAACCCTAGTTATCCCTAGTTTAGGGTAATCATTTTTAGAAATATTTGTATACAATATTAAGTAACTACAAATCCTCAGGGCTTTCCCAATCTCTCAATAATTTTCTTATATTGAATTTTGCCCTCGTTAATCGATTTATCTTTTATTAATACTATCCATGTCTCTCTTACTTATCGATGCTACCCTCAGTTTGCCGTCCACCCCTCGTTTTTTCTGATGCTATCATTAATTCATTTCCCCCTCATTGCTTCAATCATTGATGTTTCCTTCATTGTTCCAATCATTAATATTTCTCGCATTGCCCCAATCATTATTGTTCCCCTCATTGCTCCCCTCAGCACGAGAACGAATCCTTCCCCTCTGAGGGTATGAACTCGCCCCCCGCCTCCCACTTGCTCTCCCCCACCGAGGGGGGGCTGCGGGTGGACCAGTCCGTTATTAACGGTACTGGGGATGAGGGGGGCTGTACCGGCACCGTTATTAACGGTACCGGCGACGAAGAAGGCTGTACCGAAACTCCGTACAACAGCGATGTGGACATCAGCGACGATGAGGAGACAAAGTCCCGGGACAGCGGGCCAAACGTCGACGAAAAGGTGAGAAACTGAGAATAAAGTGAGATAAAGTTGATAAAATCGGATAAGGAGATAAAGGATAAAGATAAATAAGGGTGAAAAGGGGGATACAGAGACATTAAGGGGATATTGTGATTGGGGGATATTTTAACCTTTTACGCACAGGATACTTAGGGGCAACTTGGCAACAAAACTACTACGATTTACTAGGGGGAACCATGCTTAGTCAGCAGGTGCTGGTGCTAACAAGAGAACACAATACCATGGACCTATTCTCTACTAGCAATGACAAGCTGCTTGCTGATGTCCAAACATTCAAACCATGAACGCTGAATTTGAAAACCAAATATAGAGAGGGGTATCCAATAATTATTGACCTATACATTCGGCTTCCAGGCCAGATGGAGACGTTGTCATGTTACTAAAAATGTGTTGGTGCACTGAAGGTCCCACTGGCTGTGCTCTGAAAAACATCTTTGAAATAGGAAAACGTTCCGTTTCACCTCAAGTTTGGATTAATAACTCCAATCTACTATGAGGATTCTAGAGACAAACCCCAAAATTACAGACCAGTGTCATTAACATCGCATGTACCAACCTGTCGGAAATCGTCATTGCCGGGAGGTTGATACATTGAATGGAGGAAGCTGACCTTTATAGCAGAGGACAACCCGGTTTCAGGCGAAATTGTTCGCGCTTGTCCAGGTTACTGGCGAATCACCACCAAATTATGGCCTAACTTCAAAAAAAAACCGGCAGGTACGTGGTGTATTTTGACTTTGCGAAAGCTTTTGAAAAGCTTGAATTTGGAGTGCCCATCGAAAAACTAAGACTAATGGAGTCAGAGGTGAATTATTGTAGTAAGTTCACAACTTCCTATCTGACAGACTACAAGCTACATTGTTAGCTGTTGAAGGCTCGAGATCAGGCTAGGCGAGAGTAAAAAGCAGAGCACCTTAGGGAACGGTACGTAGCCTGAAAATCTTCCTTATTCACATCACCGAAAAAAGATACGGAAGTGGGTCACGCCTCGACATCGTCTTTCGAGAGCGCTACCAGGGTACTGATGGCTATAACGGACATGACAAACTGCGAGAGGGTGCATAGCGATATTTCTGGAATATATGACTGGGCCCAAGGGAACCGAACGGCGCTGAAATTGAAAAAAAGCAACTTGTACGTTGTCTCAGAGTCTTGATGAGTACTCAGGTAAAGTTTGCTGATCACATAGCGGCATTAACCACAAAAGGCAGGCGACAGATGAAGTGGATTTTACGGACGTTGAGAACAAGAAAAACGGAACCGATGAACACACTCTTCGTTGATGATCACAAGAGTGTGATGAACACACCCTTGTGATCCCTGTAATTGAATACTGCTGCCAGCTTTGAACCCCGTTCACACTCGACGCAGTACGGCAATGGGAAGGTGTCTAACGAACCTTTACGTCAAGGATCCAAGAAATGAGTGAGCTGGGCTACTGGGGAAAACTGGTGTGCCTGAGCCTGTACCCACTGCAGAGGATACGGGAGAGGTTTTTATTTATATACGCATAGAAAGTATTAACTGGATTGCCCCTGACTTTGAAAGTGAGACCTTCTGTCAAAAGTGACCAACCTAAATGAGAGAAGAGGGAGACTGCATGTGCATGATACCCGCAGTACGCAATAGAGCTGTTGTAAGATTTCAATCTCTGTGGGATGGTTCCGTGGTGGAACCGAGACAGCTTAGCATCATGCTAAAGGAGCTAAGAGGATTGAAACTGACCCAACTGACGGCATCAACTGACCCAACAGAGGGCATCAACTGGCCCAACTGAGGGCATCAACTGACCCAACTGAGGGAATCAGCTGACCCAACTGACGGCATCAGCTGACCAACTGAGGGCATCAGCAGGCCCAACTGTGGGCAGTTGCCCAGTAATTACACACATCAGCGGCGAGGAAGACTCGCCTGACTGAGGGCGGCAGAATACTGAGGCTGCGATCCAGCGTTGCTTCGGACTGCTACGTCCTAAACACATAACAAATATACTAATGTGGATACCATAGTGACAATAACAAGACCGGATGATGATGAGGGTAGATAATGATAATGAAGGGCCAACTTGTTAATGGTAAAGTTTTCTTTATGCACTCAGTATTAACGCAGCTTCCCCTCTTTTTCCCCAGCACTCTCCAACGCTGTCCCCGTCACACGGGGGGTTGACGCTGCCCCCCTACCCTCACCTGGTGGGGGGACTGGACCGCTTCCACCCCCACGCCCCCTACCCCGTCATGCCCAACTCCCTCCTGCAGCAGAGCATGATGTACATGGCGCACTACATGCCTCAGGTGCGCTTAAAACTATTTAATTATATTATAATTACTGCCAATACCTAAATTGTTTGATTCCGCTTTTACTAAATAATTGGGAAAATAATTCCTTACAAATGAAAGATATAAACATTTAGCCGGAAATGACGAGGGTACTACCCAAAAATGAACCTGAATCACGACGATTTAAGTTCCTTCTTGTCTTCCATTTATTTTTCAATTCCCCCTCTTTCCCCCGCAGGTCCCCCCATTCCCCGGGGGTCTCATGGGTCACGGGTCCCTCCCTGAGGAACGCCGTAAACGTAACCGAACCTTCATAGACCCCGTAACCGAAGTCCCGCGGTTGGAACAGTGGTTCAACCACAACACTCACCCCAGCCACAACCTCATCCTTAAGTACACTGAAGAACTCAACCGCATGCCATACCGCCAGAAGTTCCCCAAACTAGAACCGAAGAACGTGCAGTTCTGGTTCAAGAACCGCCGTGCTAAGTGCAAGCGCTTGCGTGTGTCCGGAGACCATGTGGCCATAGGGATCACGTCTTATGGAGCTAAATGAGGCCATAGGGATCACGTTTTATGGAGCTAAATGAGGCCATAGGGATCACGTTTTATGGAGCTAAATGAGGCCATGGCCTCATGCCATATGGAGCTATGTGGGGCCATGGCCTCGCGCCATGTGAACCCATATGGGAGCCAACCTGCCGCCAAATGGAGCCATGCGATGGATCGTGTAGCAGGACACAGGTTCTCATGTATATTTGTGTGAAGCTCATGTAAAGCGCATGCCTGGGAAATTAGTGGTATGATGTGTACCTGTGGTATGACTGGTACTATATCCTGCATACCTGTGGTGTGACTGGAATAAGGTTTCGTTAGAGGGTAAGGGTTAAAGAGTGAGGGTAAAAGAGTGAGGGTTAAAGAGTGAGGGTAAAAGGGTGAGAGTTAAAAAGTGAGGGTTAAAGAGTGAGGGTAAAATGGTGAGGGTAAAGGGTGAGGTAAAGAGTGAGGGTAAAAGGGTGAGGGTAAAAGGGTGAGGGTTAAAGGGTGAGGGTAAAAGGGTGAGGGTAAAAGAGCAAGGGTTAAAGGGTGAATAAATGTTGGTGTGTGAGTTTAATTCCTACTTATGTTTGTAGTGTACGCTAAAGAATGAATGAGATTTTGTCGGAATTTATTTACGCTAGCAAGTTAAACATGAAGAAAACGGGCGACGTTGCAATACTAGAATAATTAGATTTATTTATTATTAGATGTTAAGCGTGGATATGAATTTCCTGTCTAGTTATTAATGTTAAGAATGCGTTACTCGTGCATAGAATATTATGCTGTAATAAACCACGTTGTTTGCTGTGACGACTTGAGGTTTAAAAGTTCATTGACTTGACTTGGCGGTCGACTTGACTTATGCCTTGGCTTTACGTGACGCTTGGCTTACTTACGCCTTGTGTCAAACTTGGCTTGTTATGCCTTGGCTTGACTTGTTGTTATGCCTTGACTTGACTTTGCTTGTTACGTCTTGCCTGGATTTGGTTTGTTATGCCTTGACTTGACTTGGCTTGTTACGTCTTGCCTGGATTTGGTTTGTTATGCCTTGACTTGTCTTGGCGGTTCAATTGTTATGCTTTGACCTGACGGTTGACTTTGTATTGCTTGACTTGACTTGACTTGACTCTTGACTTGTTCTGACTTGACTAGACCCTGAATATACCAAAGAAGCTGAATTGAATTATGGGGAACTTGAGCCCTTTACTGATGTGTGGGTTCATCAGAGGCTCAATCTCGCCACTGACACGAGGGTTCAGTCGAGGTTAGGTTAATGATATTAATTCGCTACTATTAATCAATGAATGAGACTTAGCTCTTGTGTGAGTCTTCCTGACTCAGTTTAGACCAAGTAAAAAGGCGTATCAGTGCTACGTCCTCTCCGTGCTCGTGCTGATGGTAGCAAAATGTATCACTATTTGAACAACATGATTCATGCATTTATTTGAGTGTATCAGGCAATCCAAAACCAGGGTTTTATTACGGTGGAAATTTTAAAATAAAATAAATTTAAAATTTTTTTATTACCGCGTAAAATTTACGCAAGTCTAAAACATTTTTGACGCTTGTACATTGCTTGAATATTCATATATCTATATCGTGTACACATACCATGACTTTGGTTATACATGTGTGTTGTTCCTTGTGTGTCTGCAATCAGTGTACAATACATGTGTAATATACGCACTGTGTAACATGTACATGTGTACGTTTACTGTAACCTGTTCCTAACCTGTACATGTAAGTTTATGCACGTTGTCATAGAAAACTGATCAATTATTGCAATATAATTAAACTCCTGGTCTTGATGCTCGAAAATAAACTTTTTGAGGCTTTAGAGCAAGCAAATTCAGGATACCCAGTTGAAAGATAACCAGTTGCAGATACCCAGTTTCAGGATACCCAGTTGAAAGATAACCCAATTTCAGGATACCCAGTTTTAGGATACCCAGTTTCTGGATACCTAATTTCGCGATGCACGAATTCAGTGGTGATACTCCGCTTCAGATTATCTAATTTCAGGATACCTACCCTGAAATATAAGAATACCTTTTAAGAATACTGGCTAAGAATCCCTTTTCATGATACCCAGTTTCACGATACCCAGCTTCCGGATCCCCGTATTAAACCCTGTACATTTCACGATCTGTGTTAAGTTATTCAGTGTTCAGTGTAGTTAAAAATCACCATCGTTCACACACGCTGTGTGCGCGTGTTGTATATTTGTACAGTGTTAGCGCAGTGTTGTACATATGTACGTTGTGTATGTCTTGAGTGGTCATGTACATGTAAGTTAGACGTACATGTAATCACGTCTGTTCAATATATAGCAATGACCTCACCCATGCCACGGCAATATATGAATTTAAATATAAAAAATACACGGTTGTTCCCAGCGAGCAAGTGTGTGATTTTCCCCACGCTTTTTATGCAGGATTTTATTTAAAGAAAAATTTATTGTAAAGGCGCGTGGATAATACGTTGATTAAGTCACTAATTAGGCCTTGAAAGGCAGTCACTATTTAGGCCATACGAGGCAGTCACTAATTAGGCCTTAAAAGGGGTAACTAATTAGGCCTTAAAAGGCGGTCACTAATTAGGCCTTAAAAGGCAGTCACTAATTAGGCCTTAAAAGGCAGTCAATAATTAGGCCTTAGAAGGCAGTCATTAATTAGGCCGTAAAAGGCAGTCATTAATTAGGCCTTAAAAGGCAGTCACTAATTAGGCCTTGAAAGGCATTCATTAATTAGGCCTTAAAAGGCAGTCATTAATTAGGCCATAAAAGGCAGTCATTAATTATGCCTTAAAAGGCAGTCATTAATTAGGCCGTAAAAGGCAGTCATTAATTATGCCTTAAAAGGCAGTCACTAATTAGACTTGAATAGGCAGTCACCGATTAGGCCTTAAAAGGCAGTCACAAATTATAGGCCTTGAAAGGTAGTCACCCATAAGGCCTTGAAAAGCAGTCACTAATTAATTAGGCCTTAAAAGGCGGTCACTAATTAGGCCTTGAAAGGCAGTCACAGATTAGGCCTTGAAAAGCAGTCACTAATTAATTAGGCCTTATAAGGCAGTCATTAGTTAGGCCTTAAGAGGCAGTCAGTAATTAAGCCTCAAATGGTTGTCATCGATTACAATTGGAATTGAGTACAATTTAAAGGGGCTCAAAAGTAATCTAATCTATAATAAAAATGTACTAAGCCTACAATATGCAGTAAATAAAGCCGAAGAAAATTTCATATTAAACTACAAAATTTTTGATCAAACTACGATCGCTCCATCACTTGATGGAAGGACTGTCAAACATCACATTACGCAAAAGAAGCATTAATTTAAACGCTTTATTCACTACACGTCATTGAATTTTTGAACAATTAGAAATTAAAGAACAATAGAACCGTTGAAATTTTTATATTTGAAGTGGTTCCGTAAAATGCAGTGGTTCACAGAACGAAGCCAAGGGGGAAACGATAAGCGCGATGTGGAACTCACTGTTAGTAGAATATGCTGATATCAGTTTTGCTTCGAAAATGTTCCCAGCGAGCAAGTGTGTGATTTTCCCCACGCTTTTTATGCAGGATTTTATTTAAAGAAAAATTTATTGTAAAGGCGCGTGGATAATACGTTTATTAAATCACTAATTGGGCCTTAAAAGGCGGTCACTAATTAGGCCTGAAAAGGCAGTCACTAATTAGGCCTGAAAAGGCAGTCACTAATTAGGCCTTGAAAGGCAGTCACAGATTATAGGCCTTGAAAGGCAGTCGCCGATTAGGCCTTGAAAAGCAGTCAATAATTAATTAGGCCTTAAGAGGCAGTCATTAATTAGGCCTTAAATGGCTGTCATCGATTACTATTAGAATTGAGTAAAATTTAAAGAGGCTCAAAAGTAATAGTCTAAACTCTAATCTATGATAAAAATGTACTAAACCAACAATATGTAGTAAATAAAGCCGAAGAAAATTCCATATTCAACTACAAAATTTTTGATCAAACTACAATCGCTCCATCACTTGATGGAAGGACTGTCAAACATCACATTACGCAAAAGAAACTTTAATTTAAACGCTCTTTTCATTACACGTCATTGAATTTTTGTACAATAAGAAATTAAAGAACAATGGAACCGTTGAAACTTTTATATTTGAAGTGGTTCCGCAAAATACAGTGGTTCACAGAACGAAGCCTGGGGGAAACGATAAGCGCGATGTGGAACTCACTGTTAGTAGAATATGCTGATATCAGTTTTGCTTCGAAAATTGGAAGTTAAAAAGACAATATATAAATTCAAAGTAATGAGTCACTGTTTTAGGTTTGAATGTCTCTTTCTCTCTCCAAGTCTCACCATATTGCTGGTGGAAACAGAACGTAATAATTAAAAGTAAGTAGGTAAAGGGTAAATAAGGGCAAGAGTATAAATCATCAAGGGTGAATAAACAGAAGCGCAGGATTGAAGACCAATTTAAAAGTAGAGGCGGTTGGGTGGATTCTTATCTGCATGAGATTTGAACAGTTTAAACCTATAAATATATAATTCAAGGTATAACGCAATGGATTTCAGTATAATTCTCAAATAAAATCAGAACAATAATAACACTTGCAAAATAATCAAAAGAACTAACCTATTTGTTTCTGTTGCGAGGACCCTATACAATTGTTCTCCATGAGAACTACAAGAGGGAAAATAGTAAAAAGTGTGAAAGTTCGTACTTACAGGTGTCAAATAAAAACATACAATCATGCGAAGTTCAAACCAAGCTTCAAGGCTTAAGTTAAAAGTTAAGTAATAAGAAGTTAAGTTAATTTATTCACAGAAGCTCCACAGAGCTAAACAACCCAACGGGGTCAACCACTGGCGTGCATGCATGGTCCTGGCCCATACTTTCAAAAAAAATTGCCATGTTCATCAAAAGTTAAGAGATCGCAAGTTCATCAGCCAATCATTGACGGCCTTTCAAGCAAAATCCACCAATCATATAGACTAGAAAATAGAGCGTAAGTACTTCCGTTCACTTGGCGAATTTTGAAAGTATGGCCCCAGTGTAATAAAAACCTAAACGAGCGAACATAGAAGCGCGAATACGAAATTTAATTGAACAAAATGAAAACACATTCGCACAAACTTAAATTAAGTTGAAGAAAAGCAAGATTTGCCAAGGGTATTAATACGGTTAACACGGTTTAAACAAGAAGTCAGCACAGCTGCAAGGTTAAGCAAATAATAATTACGATCGAACTAACGAGCGTCGACTTCGCCTCCTAACACGCGACTAACGTAATGATGTAATTAGATAATAAATTTTAAAACCGTTTTATTATTAACCTAAAAGTATGTGCTTTCATCGATGCTCAAATATTTCGACGATTTTTTTTCCTGAT